AATGGCCTCTGAGAAACATCACTACAGGAGCAGGTTGAGATATAAACACGCGTAGTAATTTCTAGTCTAATGGCCTCATCACCTTTCATTAGTTATGTTGTCTCGTCTCTCCATCCATCCATCCATCCTGTCTGCTTATCCATCAATCCTCTCTATCCCGTCAACTATTCTTTCAAACGCTCTTCATCCGTCTACGGTTTCTTGCAATTTCCGTCCATCCACCCACCCACCCACCCACCCATCCTTCTCTCTCTCTTCCAAACATCTCCACCATCTTCTCTATTCACCCATCCATCTCTCCCTTATTCATCACGTCTCCATTCACCATCTACCGCAGCTCTTCCATCACCCCATCATCTCGGGTCTTCACACACACGTTCCTTATATAACTTCACCTCCCTTATGACCTACCAAACTACCATTGTTTCTGGTCCTATGATGAGGGGAGAGTAAGGAGGGGGAGGAGAGAGTAAGGAGGGGGAAGAGAGAGTAAGGAGGGGGAGGAGAGAGTAAGGAGGGGGAAGAGAGTAAGGAGGGGAAGAGAGAGTAAGGAGGGGAAGAGAGAAAGGAGGGGGAAGAGAGAGTAAGGAGGGAAGAGAGAGTGGAGAGAGAGTAAGGAGGGGGAAGAGAGAGTAAGGAGGGGGAGAGAGTGGGAGGGGGAGGAGAGAGTAAGGAGGGGGAGGAGAGAGTAAGGAGGGGGAGGAGAGAGTAAGGAGGGGGAGGAGAGAGAGTAAGGAGGGGGAGGAGAGAGAGTAAGGAGGGGGAGGAGAGAGTAAGGAGCGGGGAGAGGAGACAAGGGAAGGAAGGAAGGAAGGAAGGAAGGAAGGGAGAAGGTAGAGAGATATTTCATGTTGCCCTCCCTCGCCCTCCCTTTCTCCCTCACCTTCCCCCACTTTTCCTTACCCACCTTCCCTTCCCTCCACCGGTCTGCTCACTGGGGTCAACTCTGGCAGTCTTCCAGCAGAGTCCACATTAACACCGCTGCCTCTGTGTTTCCCCTTATCTATCCACTACTACCACACTGTCTACTTAACCAGAAAATATACTCCTACAAATTATACAACAGCATACAGAAATTATACGTGGCCGAGTATTGTGAGTTACAGCTGCCTTAGGATGATAACTTAAAGGATTACCAATAATATTTCCATCTTCAATCAATGTGTAGTTAGGTTAGGTTAGGTTAGGTTTGGGAGATCAGTAACAACTTTTCCAATCGTCAGTGTGAGTTCCTCTGTCCTGGTGGTAGTAGTGGTAGGGAGGTAGGTAGTAGCTCCCCCGTGTGTTCTAACAACTTACACACGAGGTATTTGTGGTCACCTGCCATCCTCCTCCAGGTGAACAGACTGTTTGTTTTGAGCAGTGAAGGTCGAGGAGGGACACCTGCTTGTGGTGGTGGTGTGGTGTGTAGTGTGTGTCAATCTCTCTCTCTCTCTCTCTCTCTCTCATCCATCAGCCACGAGTACCGGTTCAACAGGCTCATCAGTAAGGGGTGGACAAGTCGCCCGTCTCACCACAACAATGTCCCACTGGCCATAACTCTGAACAACACACACACACACACACGCACGCACGCACACACACGCACGCACGCACACACACACACGCACACGCACACACACACACGTAACAAGAATTAACCACTCGAAGGTTAACCAGTAAATTGACCAAGGTTAAAAAAGTGAGAAAAAATTATACTACTATGACTAACGATTTTTGTTGAGGTGAAGTTGCATGACTGCCCGTTAGCATAGACAGACAGACAGAGATAAAACAATATTCACTTCACACAGTCTTGGTGGAGGCATACAAAATACACACTCGATACATAAATAAACACGGAACAGACGGCAGTAATGCCAAAACCAAGTTCAGAATACACCAAGATTGTTTACTGATTTTGTCCCCTGATGCCAAATGAATGTATCACGTAAAGGTCAAGTCTCTACATCATTCTCGCGTCATTTTGGGGAATTATTTAGGAATGTTGGAGCTTCAGGGAGTTAGTTAGATGCGTTTTTGTTTCTCCTATTATGAAGGAAATTGGACATAGGAATTTTTGAAGTATCAGAGTCGTGTGGCTTAACTCGACGTGGAGGTTGAATGCACGGGTCTTGCTTGGTCATAATCCTCCTCTCCCCTTCACCCCCCTCCCTCAACACCCTCTCCCCTCCCCCACCTCCCCCTCTACCCTCCACTCCATCATCCCCACCCTCTTCCCCCCCACTCTACCACCACCTCCCCCACACAGCCTCAGCAGCGCCCACAGGTATTTCCTGCTACAATGGAGGCGGTGGTCAGGTGTGTTCGCCAGGTGCTTGTGTGGCCGTCGTGACAACTCATCCCGTGTTAATATGCTCACACTGCGACAAAATACCCACAGCAAGAACCTACTCACAGCACCAACCTACCCACAGCAACAACCTACTCACAGCACCAACATTATCCACGAGTCAACTGCCTAACTACCTGGTGAACTAGTCAGGCGTCACCTCCAGTACCCAAGACGCTTGTGGTGTGTGGTGGAGATCTTCACGTATAGTGTTCCGGCTGATTGGTGGTTAATATGCTATCCTATCTTCCTTAACATTACACACACCCGAGAGAGAGAGAGAGAGAGAGAGAGAGAGAGAGAGAAACATCAACAAAACAAACTAAACATCTATCCCGTCAACACCACAACATAAACACCAGCTGCTAGATGACACTGTACTGTAATCATATACAGACGACGACTGTGGGAACCCGGATCTAACAATACAAAACAACACAGTACTGGAAGGCAACACCAAGGTCGTGAGGGTTGTACAGAAACACTCACACAGTTCTTTACTACACCGCCCAAGCCGCCCATCGACCGCCCGCCCGCCCGCCTTCCCCCACGAACCACACACACAAAATCCCCAAGCCAATGTGTCGGGATTACTAACCTAGATGGGAAAACGCCGCGGCCAACACTCACTCTGACTCTCACTCACTCTGACTCACTCTCTCTCACTCAGACTCACCACCACCACTACACCGGCAGGAATCATAACCAGGGTGCAGTACCTTTCCCTACACGCCATTACGCCATAAAGTAGCTAACTCATCTTGATTACAGCCTACGGTTCCTCCTCCGCCTTTCATCTTCCACAAAAACACCGCCAGAAATTACACCATTAAACCTTCTTACACCGCGTCGCCGTTGTCTACCATAGAATAATTTTTCACCATCTTCCCGCCAGTGAGACAAGGAGGCTTCTCTATGATGGTTCTAGATGACAAGATACTGAAAAATAGAGAAAGGTGGACTCCTCTCGAGTACCATGCGTCCAATTCCTAGCTGAAAATACACGACCACATTAGCTGTCTTGCTCAAGCTATGGGGGAGACACGGAGGGAAAGGAGAGTTAGAATTACTAATGGGGCGCTGACGTAACGTGGATGTGTTGTCTTGTTAGGATGTGTTATGGTATCAGGTTCCTGGAGGTATACCTGATGGTGGTCCTCGGATACCTGTGTGTGTGTGTGTGTGTGTGTGTTTACCTTGTTAGGACAGCGGTGGCCAGGTAACGTCACGGTCTTACCTTACCTCATGCAACTTTCTGCCTGCCTCTCTCTCTCATCTTCCCGCCTCCCCCTCCTCCCCATCTACCTGCCTCCCCATCTACCTGCCTCCCCATCTACCTGCCTTCCCATCTACCTGCCTCCCCCTCCTCCCCATCTACCTGCCTCCCCATCTACCTGTAAACTCATCAACCCAGCACCTGTATGTTACCGTCACCATATATAAATCACTACACCTGTCCTGTCCTCGATAAACTACTTGACCTGTACTGATGGTTTGGACTAAAGTTTCTAACGTCAACACAACTCGACCCTTAAGGATGGCGACACTGACTAAGGTGTTAAGTGGCCAAAATAGAGAGAAACATGTAAATAAAACAAACAATAGAAGGAAAGTAGATAGAGGTGAATGATAAAACTGGAGATGAAGTTTAAGTTTTTTCAATTTACTGAACGGAAACATATCGAACAGCAGAACGAAGAGAGGAATAGGAGGTAAACACTAGACACTAAAATGACCGGGACATTAAAACACAAGACACTATTTAATAACAAGACGACCACAACGACCACGACGACCACTACCACCTGTGAACGTGTTACATTATCCTCTGTGCCTCTGATGACACCCCCAGGCACTGTGAGAGACCTTTGACCTCTCTCTCCCTGGCAGGTATAACTCCCCCCCCCCCTTCCTTCACTGCTCTATATTGCCACAACTTTCCTTCCCCCTCACTGCTCTGAATGACGTCACAACCCTTCCTAAACCCCCCTTCCTGCTGAATGACATCACATCCTTCCCTGCCTCCCTCCCATCCTCCTTCCACTTTCCCCCTTCCTGCTAAATGACGTCACCCCCCATCAAGGCGAATTACATAACCTTCTTCCCTCCCATAAAGGTTGCGTCTTCCTTTCCTTTCCCACCGTGACGACCCATGTTCCCCCTCTCCCCCCCTTCTTTTACTCCCCACTTATCTCCCCACCACCACCTACTTCCCCATCTGTCCCCTTCTCCCCCTGCTTCTCCCAACTTCTCCCCCCACTAACTCCTGGTCTGCCATCTCTTGACATCATACCAAGACTAACCACTTCCTCACCTGCAATTACCACCACCACCACCACACCTTTTCTACTCCTCTCCTCAACCAATCAGTCATCCACCATAGGCTTCCCGGATCATGACGTCGTCAACCAGGCTGTTACGTCAGGTTTATATAGCTCAGAGACCCACATGACGACTATAAGGCGAGTCATTAAGGAGCCTCTTGAAGAATCTGACTACTTATTAACGTTTCTCTCCCGAAGGCCTCAGTGTTGTTCCTCACAGGTGTTGGCAACTCTACGGACCTGTGACTAATTATGACACCAATACCTGAAGTCACGTCACACACCGCACCTGTCTCTCACGCCCTCAGGTACCTTTCTGTATCAGGTAAAGAAGCAGTACTCACTATTCCTGACGAAGGCGCCGCAGTTGTGCCTTACAGTCAGCCAGTTGGACGCCCAGGTGATGGACACTCTCCTGGGACGTGTCTTCCTCGTCGCCCTCCCCACACAGCGCCCGCAGCATCTCCTGTCACCACACAACACAGTATTAGTGCTGCAGACAGACAGAGACATGGATCACCTGAGGATTAGCCACCCCAGCTTATATCAACTGATTAAGCATTCTACTGCTGCCTGGGGGTTAGGTTAGATTATGCTGTTAGAAATTGATTATAAGTTAGAATACGTTAAGATTGTTATATTAAATTGTTATGTTATGTTAGGACAAGTTAGTGTTAGGTTAAGGCCCATTTAACCTGTAACCACCTGAACTAAGTCCTCCCGAAAACCCACCCCACCCCAAGTACTCACCTGGTTGTAAGTGTCCCTCTCCTGCGCCAGGCTGCGACAGTGCCTGACGAGGGAGATGAATGCATGGTGGACCTGCTCCTCCGGTAATGCTTCCACCTGCGTCCATTCCGTCGGCCATACTGCCTCGGGGTTGTCCGTTATCTGCAAGACACAACACCGTTAATTACAACAAATGTCCGTTAAGTACCAATATATTAAATAACGGTCCGTTAAATTGAAATCTGAAAAGTTCAACAATCACAAAAACGCCAAAAGTCCTAAAAATAAAAAAAAATCCGAAAGTTTACAAAGTCCAAGACACCAAAAGTGTTAAACAGCTAATATGGTCGTGTGGGTGAGGCGTGATGAAGGCTGGCAAGGGTTGGGAGAGTTTAGCATTTTATTAAGAAAAATCGTGAGAGAGTTTATCGTGAAGGTGGGAAACGGAGCCTTGATAGTGTGTGTGTGTGTGTGTGTGTGTGTGTCAGGGGGAGACGTGTGGGAGTGTGTTTATAACCTAAATTAACCCGACCATAACCTAACCTACCCTAACCAAACCCAACCTAACCTAACCTGACGAAACCTAATCTAAACTATCAAAACCAAATCTAACCAAACTATATCCTCACTTACTCTAGCCAAACCTAACCTAACCACACCACCTCTCCTCAGCACATGTCACTGGGCCACCACAATGTCTCCTCACCGAAGCTTCGTAAAGTGAGGCACAACTTGGCCTCTCAGGTCTCACTCGAGCCTCTCACCAACTTGGTATTAAAAGTTGAAATTACTTAGCGGGGAGTGTTGGGGGGGTGGGGGTGGGTGGGTGGGTGGGTGGGTGGGTGTGTGTGTGTGTGTGTGTGTGTGTGTGTGGTCAGTATGGGTGGTGGGTGTGGACAGAGTGTGTGTGTGGGTGGGCGGGTGTGTGTGGGTGAACATGTGTGGGCGGTAGATAGACGGGTATGGGTGGTGGGTGGACAGGTGATTGTGTACGTTAAGTAGACCAATCAACTGTCAACCACACTCACTCTGGCACTCCACCGTGGGACTCAACAATGACAAACACAACAACAAAACCACCCACCTCTGTTTTAACACACAAACAAAACCTTTCAAAAATAACCATCAAAACCTAAGACAGTTAAACCCAAAATACTAAAACCATTAAACCCTCAGCCAGACATAGTAGACATAGACATAACCCCAGACAGACAGACAGACATCAGACAGACAGGTTCCCACACACCAGCCAGCCATCACCAGCAGTAAGGTGTGGACTAGACCTGAGAGTATCGGGGCGTGACTTTATCAGTAATTCTTTGTCATCGTAACATAATATTGTCTTGGCCTTGACGTGACGACAAGTGCGGGGAAAGGGTTAAATTTGGGAATCAAGGGTTAATCTGGGAATCAAGGGGTTAATCTGGGAATCAAGGGGGTTAATCTGGGAATCAAGGGGGTTAATCTGGGAATCAAGGGCTAATCTGGGAATCAAGGGTTAAATATTATGAAAAAAATATAATTAATGAAATGTGTCTTTACGTTGTGTTATTTCTATCCAACTGAAATGTTTATAATGTGGAGCAGTGTATAACTTGAACCAGCCGTGACGAGACCGCAGCTCTCATTTCATAAAACCCCATCATTCACTTCCCACTGGTCATTAATAACTACCCGGGTTCCACCTCATTAATATTCCACTAATTACTCTGTGTTTATGACCCATCACGCTAGGCTTCCCTCAAATATGGCCTTTGTTGTCTATATGTATTTACACGTTCACACACTGTACATGACTGACTGGTATAGTATTAGCTACGATAAAGTCACTGAATAATATCGTATTTTAACTGCCACCTCTATGCCGCAGTTTCCAGGCGAGTGAACTAATCAGATGGGTTCTCACACTAATCACAACGTACAGGCAAAAACTACAATGTGTTTGAATATTACGTGGTGTGTGGTCAATAAATTAGCGTCACAGATCATCTCACCGTGACGTCATTTCCGCCTAGTATTACGTGAGGATCAGCTGAGCGAGAGGTAAACAGTGGACAGTACAGGTGAGTGGACAGTACAGGTGAGTGGACAGTACAGGTGAGCGGACAGTACAGGTGAGTGGACAGTACAGGTGAGCGGACAGTACAGGTGAGTGGACAGTACAGGTGAGTGGACAGTACAGGTGAGCGGACAGTACAGGTGAGTGGACAGTACAGGTGAGTGGACAGTACAGGTGAGTGGACAGTACAGGTGAGTGGACAGTACAGGTGAGTGGACAGTACAGGTGAGTGGACAGTACAGGTGAGTGGACAGTACAGGTGAGTGGACTAAATACCTGAAGACAACAAAAACATCAGTGTCCTTCTCTTCAACCATGAACCACGAAGACAAAATCAAGACAAAATATTAATCTAACGCCACAGAATAACAGACATACACACACACACGTCTGTATTTACCAACCAAGAGAATAACAATATATAAAAACATTTCTCTATTTAACAGAGAACACCATGACGAGGTAGGAGGTAATATACAACGCGTCTAGTTCCCTCCGGCCACTGAACATTAAGATAAGCGAGAGGCAACACTTTCCTCACCCACATAACTTGTAATTACACATAAATCTCTTGTGTTTATTTGGCCGCAGAATGTAAAGGTTATATTCAATAGAAGCCATGATAACCCGGAGAGCCTTGGTAACGCTGCAAACAGGGAGGGACGGACCAACTGACCCACCTCTACCACACCTACCAGTCAACACCATGAACCTGCTTCAGGGTAACTAACCTGGAAACAATGACCACAATACACATGACCCACGACAGGTCAACAACTCACCTCCAGGTATGTAAGATTAACATTTAATCAAGTACGTGACAGGTGAACGCAGCCTCAGGTAACAACAATACTGAAACACACCATCACAAGATTTCGACACCGTGAAACTGTTTTTAACTCCTGGCACTGTTCTCTGAGACTACTGTGTACTTGGGTTATACCACACGCTTGAAATAAATGAATAAATATTAAAAACACGGTCATAATAAGTCAATACAATGAATAACCTTCTAGGAAATATATTGAATGTATAAACGTGTATAAGACACATATCAGATGTGAACAAATAAAACCATGCTTGAGGTCAATACAACGTCTGACCTTCCAGGGAAAATATACAAGCAGTGACTTAACGGGAGCGAGCGTGACGGCGGGTGACCGCTGCTGCCGGGAACAAGAACTAACACCAACACGACACGACGCGTCAAGGACACTAAATATGACAACTGCTGATGATGACCGGAGCCACAGTCACTCACCGGCTACGTTATCTAGGTTCTCTCCATAAAAAATACCGCCAGCACGAGCAATCAACAGCGTCTGGCTTTCACTACCAATCTCAAACTGTAATGGAAGCTACACACGACTGACGTAAACCAACCTTATGCACTATAACGTTTTTTTTATGGTCAAACCTATACTCGGAGGATTATAACACTGTCATCACCCGAGCACCTCTACCATGTTCACCTGGGCGACTTAATTACTCTACACGCAGGTAACTCTCTCAAGCTACCATGACCAAGATTAAGTTATCGAATAATACACAACCCCCACCCCACGCCCACTTTGAATAACTCCCGCAGCCTCCACACGCCCATGAGACCTCCACACGCCCGCCACGCCTGCATGACGTGTGTGGGAGGGAGCGTGGGAAGGTGAGGTGGCTGGCGGCCTCGTGGTGGTGGTGGAGGCTGCACGTGCTAACACAATTACCTGCGAGTGAGACAAAGTGTGCAGGTATTACACACACACGCTGTCCATCACTACCTTCACCATCCATTACTCCACCACTACTCCCTCAACTCCAACACTACTCCATCATCTCCATCACCACCACACACTACCCAACCTCCACCACCCTTTACTCCCCCACTCCTCCTGCACCATCAGGCACCCTGCCACCAATAAATTTATACTCCCAACACCATCCTCCCTCCCCCAGGTAGCGGCCCACACACACTGCTCGTTACTGAAGGATTTTACGGCAAGTATTTACGTTTAATGCGAGCGTCCAGTTATTAACCTGAATTGAATACATGGAATAGGGGAGAGAGGATGGGAGAGGGGAGAGAGGATGGGAGAGGGGAGAGAGGATGGGAGAGGGGAGGGGATGGGAGAGGGGAAGGATGGCAGGAAGAGGGGGGTAGAGTGTGAGTGTAAGAGGGCAGATGATATGAGGGGAAGAGAGGGAGGGAGGGAGGATGGAAAAGAGGGGGTAGAATGGAAAAGGGAAGGTGGAAAAGGAAATGAACGAAAAGGAAGAAAAGAAGGAAGAGCGAGAGAAGGGAAGACGCAAGAGAGGATGGAGGATGGAAAAGAAAATGAATGAATGCAGGAAGGAGGGAAGAAAGGCAATGGAAGAAGGAAGGATATGATAGAAGGAAATGAAAGAAAGAATGAAAGGAGAACCACAACACACTACCCACCTCCTTGATACACGCGACGATGGAGTGTTGAGTCTCAAGGTCGAGCTTCTTAATCTTCTCGATGACGTGTTCCTTGGAGGGGGACTGGACGGCACACCCCAGCACCAGCAGGAGTAACTGTCGCAGCTCAAACACGCCCCCAGCACCCTCACCAGCACGGGACAACTTCACTACGTCAGGCAGTCGTAACACCACCGTCTGGTTCAACACCTCCTGTAACACACACAAGTAACACGTTAATAACAAAGAAAAAGGATAAACAACAAAAAAAACAAAGTTAGTAAAGAAATGTTCGTCTCAATAACAAAAAAATCACAACAAAACAACAACCAAAACAACAACAATCATAACAATCAACAAAAACAACAAGAAAAAACAATCATAATCAGTAAAGAGTACTTATCACTACACATAACACCCCTTAAATAACTTACAATCACTACCATTCAGCCTTAAAGTACTATTTACACTAATCATGCGGTTCAATCATAAGTAAATTTATCTGATTAAAACACAAAATTAACAAATATCTAATTATTCAAAGTTTACACCAATTATTGACTTCTAGGCACAGTTAGTCTCTAAGAAATCAATATTATAACCTAACCTAACCCACAACACGCCATTATAACCTTATCATATCTTTATGAGGTTGTAAATAAAGGT